CGTTAACCAATTCAAATGACAGAAGTGTTTTTATAAAGAGGTCATCACTGTATGGGATACACAATAATGTACCGCGACCAGTCTGATGAAATTTCTTAATTCTTAACCATTGAAGAATACCATAAGATTTAAAGCATAGTAGTTCATATATGAACCTGAAACGAAACGTGAGGTCACATCTATAATTCCCTGTTTAAAAATGTTCCAACCCTAATGTATCAAACATTGTAACTCTGACCGCAGTCAATTCCTGTATTCCTCCATTGTAAATTATTTCCCTATTCCTTTAATTTTCGATTCGTCACTTATACAAGAGCTACTAAGTATAAACCGACAGTATTCAGAAACCAGACAGGCACTGAAGTTTTGTAGTAATAGCCTGAACTAGTGGTCATGAACGTCATGACTTATACCGTACACATTCTCCTGCCTTTGAGTTGATTAACGTATTTCTTCCATATCACCCCCGAGGAGTCCTTCATAAAGATAATTAGCATCTACTTGAAAAATAATATGTAAAAGTCAATTGGGTTGTTTCAAAACAGGAAAGAAGACTTTAACCACAATTTAGGCAACAAAAGGGGACCAAAAGGTTTGTTCGGTGCCAAGATTTATGTCCTGACTGATTACAAAGGGTTTGGGTTTATTTGTCTCCAAATTTAATCGTTTCATCGGGCATTCGCAGCCGTAATCCTGAAAAAGAATCTAGAAGTAGGAGCTTATGATCGTGCTGCTCACCTCGGTGTCACCAAAATACATACATGCATATTTTCTATTGGATCATCTCAAGTTTGAAAAATCGCGTGATAAGTGTAACAAGGGTAATATTTACAGAAACTCTGGTATTTTCTTCAGACTCTTAGCTCGTTAAGAATGAAGATTTGAAAACAAATGAAAATGCAAACTTTAGTTACAGTGGCGCTAACAGTCAATATAAAGGAACGTGTAGTTGTTATCCGCAACAAACTCCTGTTCTCTTGCTTACTGCAGATATTCAACCCAACTTGGTTCAGTCAAAGGGACATAAAGGTATACATTTTGCAATTTAAAACGTAGCACTTCCAAATTGCAAAATATCAATGTAAATCTGATTGGTTATCAGATAGAACAAAATGCCCCCTATAAGCCAATGATACAACTTTTTCCTCGACAGATAAATCGGTTCAATCCACCGCCGAAGTTCAATGGGTCATCAAATGAGAATTAAGACAGTCAGTGAAAAATTAAATTATGTCATGAAAATGACCAAAACCACACATCTACACAGGAACATACGGAAGTACTTATACCTCCTGATGTGAATATGTCATCATTGAATTCAGCCAATCAATGACTTTCACAGTTTACCAAATAACTGTACAAATAATTAACAATCCTTTTGTTAGTCACAGACACTGACTGAGTCATGAGGTGGTATTATCAAGGACCGTTCTTCACAAATATCAACATTTTTTGGATTCCCGTTCTTTCAAATATTGCTCAACGAATATCAAATTACCACACTATGACTACATCTTAGATGAGTTATTTCTACTGCACAACTCCGCCTGGAGCCCCTTTAGGGCTATTGCCAATCCCAAGTCCACATAACGAAGGAGGGTCAAGTGTGGGTTTATGGGAATCAATTCAGTAGAAAACTAACTCGCTAAAAACGCTAACCAGAATAATATATTTATACTGCACATTTTGTAGACTAAAGATAATCCGCTATAAGTGTTCCAATTCTGCGACCTGTTAGCAATATGGAGCTAAAATTTATTCAGTTTTCGTGTCAAATCAAACCTCTCTCCTTATTCAAACCAATTTAACATTAGTCGACTTTCAACAACTTTATAATCTATTCAAATCAGCTGAAATACCTAATTTGCATTGAGGCAATTATAACTAGATAGCGTGGTTTGTTTGCAATAATGTGTGGAACAAGTTCAAATCAATCTAGATATAATACAGTACATAATTTAATTTATTCTGAATTCACCACAACATAAATAGACCTTTCTAACTTTTCGCAAACCGGCTAGAATGAAATTTGAAGGTCGAAAACCTATAACACTATGGATAAAATAGTTTCAACCGTAAACAACTTTGCTACAAAAACACAGTTTAGTTTGAATTTTCACCAATGCGGTTATTTATGTAGCTTCAGCCCAAATCAGTCGCGATTATCAATACCAAAGTTTGCAATAGGTTGCAGCTAATACTTCGGTTTCATGGGTCGTTCGGCAAGTATCCTCGGCTATATATAGCTATATATAAATGCAAACTGCCTTTGGATCAGTTTTAGAAACTTAATATACTAAAACAAACTTTCAATCACTGATTGACAACAGATATACTGGTACCATGTAGCTTCACTGTATGAGCAAAATCTGGCAAAAATACAGCGAGACACTTTGCTTTCGAGCTTTCTCGACTCAATTTCAAACCTTTAATGATAAAGGAACGTTTATCACCTGTAAATGTTCAATAAAAACCGAGAAATCAAATTTTGCCGGAAACCAGCTTCATCTTGAATATAACAACACAATGTTGGAACGCGGATACCACGATTCTGGTAACTAAGTTTCCCATCTCCCTTGCGCACGAATATAAAGCATTTGGGAACGATGAGGAAGTACATAAAATAATTATACGAGGTTCTATTTTGTGATGATAAGCTCCAAACGAAGGCTAGGTGAAATGACAGTGTTGCAAAACATCAAACACAGGAAAAGATATGTTGAGAAACACTAGATGGGTCGAACACAAGCACGTCCGATAAATCATTGGCATCAGAGAGGCTACCTAGTGATTACAGTCGTCTAAAAAGTCATTTCAGAAAACTAACGTGATTCTTAAAACAGGAGTTTAGGAACATTGAAATTTATTGGCAAAATCGATGTACTCTGACAGTAAACCCTGTAAACAATCACCGTCACGGATAAAAATAAAATATAAGGGGAAACTGTTGCCAGAATAGTATAATTATTTGGAAATAAAACAGCAAGAACTGCGAAGAACTGATGAAAGAGAAACGTAGTTCATGACGGTCTGAGAATATTACGAAGCCCAAACCCCTTCAACAAAAATGATCAAAGATCTTAAATTCCAGACTTACGAACTAATCATTCGTTTACTGACTAGACATGGTGATATTGTGTATTGAACGCGAAGAACACAATGCAAAGCGCTTAGGTAAATCCAAGGTTGAAAGCAGTTTTATCGCGTATTGCCCACGATGGTCTTGCTACCTCGCAACCGAATCGAACTAAGCAATGATGAGAGTTCATCTCGCTTATTGTTGTGTACTTTCACATTTTTTGTAAGGCTATAATATACGGACGACATTTGGGCGACGTTAATGTAATCCTTAGAATGTCCAACTGTTAACAGGGACTAAATGACGATTATAAAGCAGTGTGAGGAATTAGAATTATGATTTAAACTTGATGATTATGATTAGAAACTAGATTTGCAGTTTTCATTCCAAGACTTGTATCTAATTGGCTTGTCCATAAATTATAGTTTCCCCAAAAATTCTCTTCAAAATAATGCCTAAAAAGAAAGGCAGAGGGTTAAATGGCAAAGTCTCACACTGATTGCTTCATGTCGAAGTATCATCTATTTTCTGGTCGTCACCTCTACCCGTATAGTGCACTTCTGTGTATTAACGTGCCTTTGATCGTCAGATTATCTTGAAGGTTACACCACTCAGCACTAGTTAAAGTATCTGCAAATCTCACGATAGAGTGCTTTACAGGCGAGATCTGATGTGTATACATGTGATAGCGAAGCTACAATGATTTAAGATTACTAAACGTAATTAAACTGTTTTATTAACTTAAATAATGCAGACAGCTTGAAATCTTGGCTCTTGTTCTAGTTGCTACTGTGTGAGTACTCGTTTACTACGCAAGATGACACGAGCAGTTTTTAAAGCTTCTTATGTGAAACCAGTAATGTATGCATTACTGATCTTCCAGTTCTGCTTATAGTTAATTATTCTGATAAGGGACCGAATGCACTAACTTCACTGACAATGCACTCACAAATGGGCTAGTCAGTTCTTATCACCGAATCTTGTGTCGAGATGTGTATATGGCAAACAATAATTTAACATCGACTTGACAAAATACATTTACTAAGGCTTCACTCCTATGTTCTCGTCTATTTCAAGTGTAAATATTCTCCAAAGTAATTCTAATACTGCTCCAAAAAAACACTTGCTCCAAAACCATTAATTTGGTGATGTCTGATTGTTTAATTATAAAGACAGTCGTCTCCTGATATTTCTACAAGGTAGTAAATCAAAACCCCTGAAATGTTAGTGAATTGCCACTTCTGGCGTCATCAAAGTACCTACCAGTCATCTATAAGTGCATATAATAGAAACAAATAGCTTGCTATGTAACCGATCTTCCCGAAGAACAGTGGCTAAATTTTGTCTAAAGGATAAATCATTAAACTACAAAAAGTTCAGATGCTTCATTGTTTCTGACGAGTTTAAGCAATGTTTGGTAAAAAGTTCCCGTTTGTGTTTGTAAAACGTGATCTCTGTGTGCGAAAGACTGCGCTATTATATTTGTTTAATCACCATTTTCCTTAGAGGACTAGCCACATTTTATAGTGATTCAGGCCACTCACCAGCCAGTACCATCTTGAGATACTAACCCCCCTTGGCTTAAATCTTTAGTAGGTATTGCGTAGGGATCTGTGATGCAGATCACTGTTTGTTGTCATTTAAAGTGACTTGTGAAAGGGAACAGTTTATGTTGAATACTCACTCTTTATTTGGACTTAAGTGAATCATTAGAATTTTGTCAAACATAACCCACATGCGAACCCGTGCCATTTAAAAGAAATTTTGTGTTTTGCGTAAAATGTATTTAAGATACATTTTTAGTAATTAAAAAGACGAGGCGTCGATATGACCACACTTAATTTGCTATTATCTCCAAATATTTGGGACGATTGATGTTTATGAATTCTTCAAATCTTTTTATGATACCTCAAAAGTACGGATGTATATCAAGAAAAGTTATCTAGGAATATACAATGGATTCCAGCTAATGGGGTTTGTTCGGATATTATATTTTAATAGTTTATAGATGGGGTTATATACTATCTTTATACATATTTGAGTCATCCATCAAAAGAAAGTGGTTTGAGTTCAGTGTTCAAGTAGATATTCTTCTACGACTGTTTCAATCACTAGCCATCGTTGAGGTATTTATGTCGAAAAAAAACTATTAACTTCTTTAGATAATCCATTCCGCAATAGGACTAGTTAGATCTTCCGTCATGGCAACAATGTTACAGGTATCCTCCCGATTACTAGTTGTGTGGGGGATTTTATATATAGTCCCAGAAGTAAGTGGTTTTAGTGTAACTTAATACTTTAGGTTGCACGTGACAATTTGGGTGTCCCACTCATTGTTATATCGTGGTCTATTGCTGAAATGATTCGTTATTCATATTATGTGGCAGATATATGTAGGGTAAAGTTAAATCTGCTAACTTGGTTGAGGTAAGTAAAATTCATGATTCATTTATTTCGAAAGGTACTCAGGTTTTATGGTTTTGTATCCAACTGGGATTTCTGTAAGTCATGGAAGTTCATGCTTAATCAGTGATTCAGGGTGAGGTTCTTCTAATAGTAAGTGGTATAAAAAGACTGAAGGAAACAGAAGAATATTCCTTCGATCTTCCAAACGCTCTAAATTGTTCACTCAATTATTGGTTTGCTTTGGTTGCTATACTTATAACCTACATTCCAGGTAAGTTCTCATTACTTCACAACTCTTTTGTAAAGGTTCGAAGACAATGTACACTCACATGATGCGTCAAAGAAGAAAAGTGTTACAAAATTGTAACTAAGGAGCAATTGCTTTTTTTTCATTATATGAATAATTTAACTTATTTATAAATGTTTCATAAGTATTGACAGCCACTTGGCATTTCTGTGATGTATTTAAGAGCACCCAATATTCAGCTTCCTATTTCATCTAGCCAGAACGTTCCAAGTGACGAAATACGCGTTCTAAACCCGTCCAACTGCTAGCTATCATCCATCTCTTTATAATGCCTGTGACAATGGGAATATTAAGACAATCCACACAGGGTTCATATATGCTAAATAAGATTAGTTAATTACAGTCCTGGACATCAATCGGAAATTTAAAATAAGCAGTACATATGAGTTCATCTGTTTTTTGCGGAATGAGACTAAAACATATGTAGTACGCTGGATAAAACAACTCATTTCCCATGTACTTGGATATAAGCTGCACTCTTAGTGTGAAGGCTAATGATGCTACTCAGTTGCCCAAACCAAAATTGGTAGAGCAAGGTCCGAACCTGAAACTTAGTAGCTGAAAATCAAACTCCCTAAGCACAGCCACCATTTAACAATGTAGTGCGATTGCAAGCGACTATTGGAAACTACCTTTTGGGTTATTAGGTTGCCGGTAAATATAATTAGCATTTTTGTCTCACATATAAGATCCAGTTAATACAAATTGGCTTCACTGCTATCAGATCGTGCACTCAATATCTGGTTCTTCTAAGCTTGTTTATATAGTTGGTAATAAGTGTAGTATTGAACCACAACCTAGATTACGAAACCCGTTCGGTAAATGCGGATTATAGTTTGATAAATACCTTTCAGGATTCATCAAAACTACCGTCCAATTGACAGTATTTTTGTTTAAAAACGTCATTTTCACAGCCATTTCGTAAAAACGGGTTAATTAAAGTCATTAAATAATAAATAGACCATTGACAGTTCGCGTGACAATTTGCAATCGGAGACCGCTCTTGTACTCAGATACTTTAACATCCACGTGGCTGGTAGAATGGATGTAAACAAACATACAAAATTGTATTTATTGCAGCTAGCATTTAGATATGTTCACCTTGTTGATATTGCTTACAGATTGGCCGGACTAAAGTAAGTGATGCGGGCTCAGACCTGCTTTAACCACTGATCCAAACTACATTTGAAAATATGGTAGGGCGATAATAGTTATGTCTATAAACTAGGTGACCTGGTTCAAAGTCATTCGCTGTTTGCTGGAATTCTTATGTTGGCGACAAAGTGATTTGGCCTAAACATTGTAATCAATTCTTACGGTGTATCTTTAAAACTTCTGTGTACCATAAACGAGTCGATTTAACGCTAACTGGGCCCATTTCACAATACTGACTAGAAGGCTATTACTGTGATGTCTAGTAAGACATTGGAACTAGAGTTTATGTCGTGCAGTTTTGCTCGTAGTGCAAACAAACGTACGCGTTTCTTGTCACAATAATTGATTTGTCTAATCTAAGTAATAGACCTCCAAGAAATTGATAAACATAGTAGCTGGTGATCTTGTTTTGCGTATGTACGTAATGAACATAGGACAATACGAAGCTCCTTAAAACCCGAAACTCGTCGATCTACCACGCTTAACCGCGAGTTTGACAATAAACGTCGATCCTTACGTATAAACATGTTACGCTTAAGTGGGAAGACAAACCTGGACGGACCTTGGTGCAGATTTGCAAAAGGTTGTTATATTTGGCACTTACCGCAGGGTATATGAGTTCAGGCAAGTCATTGGTAGGAAGTTTGTATAAGTGAGACCTTTTGTGCTGATGGGACAGCAACCATTAACTTCGAATGAAGTCTTGAAGGATAGTGTTTTCAAGAAACGGTTAAGTTCGTTTTCTACTCCAGAGGCATCCATCAGAATTCATTGTGATGGTTAGTTTGCCTCATACGGTGAGAAACTAACCTCCAGCTCCATAGATAAGTCTTCTATTTAAGAAGGCAAACTTTTATTTAAACAACAGAGGAGGATTGTTGACTAAAGTGTCACGACATCGTGGGACAGAGCCACTGTCGTCCCTATCGCCAGAAAAGTTACGTTTCATATGCAACACATTTCCACTGCACTGAAATATTGAATATTTGTTAGTCGTATATTTACGTCTCTCGTACCATACATTGATCACGGCAAAATATATTGTGGGTCACTGGCTACCTCAGCTCTTGAAGTGACTGTTCTGAGGCCATGAGGTTTGTTTATCAAATCTAACTTAAGTTTAAATCAACTCACTACATATTTAGGTATAAGTCGCACTCCAGATGTCAAGGCTGATAATACTAGCTGGTTGCCCGAGTCGATGTAGTTGAGTTGTGTTCGAACCAAGGGCTCAGTGTTTCGTCAACCTAAAATGTTCGGATGACGTAGTCCTATTTGTTGAAGACGCTGACGAAATGCAGTCTCACGAATACCTTGAGCAACAATACTAGGATGCGTGACTTCAGGACTGGTTTACTCTAACACCTGAACTACGGATACAAACTTAGGTAGTTCTACTTTATGGCTGCGAAACTTGGCTTGTCACAGTAAAAGGCATTCGTAGACCAAAAGTTTCTGACTATAAGTATCTTCGAAGCAACACTTACGTTTCTTGAAATGACCGAGTGAGCAGTGTTAAGGTTGAGCATAGAGTGCTTGGCAAAGTTGTAAGTCTTCGTGGACTGAGATGGCTGCGACATGTATGCCTGACCGCCTCCCACTTCGATATGTGTAGCTTGGAAGTGCAAAATTTGGAAGCTAAGGACAGTTGATCAAAGTGTGGAATTAGTCCGTGAAGTCATTGGCTGTTGGTCTGATATGCAGAAAAGTGCAAACTATCTGGCTGAATCAAAAGTTTAATTTGAGCAACCGATGCTGGCAGTAGCCCCCCAAAAGGGACTCCAGGCGGAGTCACAAAAGTTTAATACAGCTCTTCTTCGGGATACTGACAAACTCAACAAATTCAAGATAGCCCTCAGCAATCAGTTCCAGGCCTTCCATGATCTACTCAATGGAGAAGGAACTACTATGGAGAGCAACTGGAAATAGATAAAAGAGGCAATCACTTCAATATGTCATGAGGTTCTGGGCCAAAAGAAGCACCATCACAAGGATTGGATCACGGTTGATACACTGGATAAGACTCGAGAAAGGAGGAACAAGAAGACAGCAATCAATACCAGCCGAACAAGAGCAGAAAAAGCCAAGGCACAAGCTGAATACACAGAAGTAAACAAGCAAGTGGAGAGGAGTATCAGAACCAACAAACGTAAATATGTGGAAGATTTAGCAATGACGGCGGAAAAGGCTGCCAGAGAAGGAAACATGAGACAACTGTATGACACAACAAAGAAACTCTCTGGAAATCACCGTAAACCAGAACGACCAGTGAAAAGCAAGGAAGGCAAGATAATCACCAACGTTGAAGAACAACGAAATAGGTGGGTAGAACACTTCAAAGAACTCTTGAATCGACCAGCCCCACTGAACCCACTCAACATCGAAGCAGCACTCACGGACCTCCCAATCGATGTTGGCCCACCAACAATTGAAGAAATCAGCATGGCTATCAGACAAATCAAGAGTGGCAAAGCAGCAGGACCAGACAGCATTCCAGCAGAGGCACTGAAAGCAGACGTAGCGGCAACTGCAAGGATACTGCAAACTCTCTTCAGAAAGATCTGGGATGAGGAACAGGTACCAAAAGACTGGAAAGAAGGACTTCTAGTCAAAATACCAAAGAAAGGCGATCTCAGCAACTGTGACAACTACAGGGGAATCACTCTTCTTTCAATACCAGGAAAAGTCTTCAACAGGGTATTGTTAAACAGGATGAAGGACTCCGTAGACGCCCAACTTCGAGACCAACAAGCAGGATTCCGTAGGGATAGATCGTGTCCAGATCAAATCGCAACTCTACGAACCATTGTGGAACAATCAATTGAATGGGATTCATCACTCTACATCAACTTTATTGAGTACGACAAAGCATTTGATAGCGTGGACAGGACAACACTATGGAAGCTTCTTCGACACTAAGGTGTGCCTCAGAAAATAGTCAATATCATACGGAATTCCTATGATAGATTAAACTGCAAAATCGTGCATGGGGGACAGTTGACAAAGTCGTTCGAAGTAAAGACCGGTGTCAGGCAAGGTTGCTTACTCTCACCCTTTCTCTTTCTCCTGGTGATCGACTGGATCATGAAGAAGTCAACATCTGAAGGGAAGCACGAGATACAATGGACATCTGGGATGCGATTGGATGATCTAGACTTCTCAGATGATCTGACCCTCCTATCGCAAACGCAACAACAAATGCAGGAAAAGACAACCAGTGTAGCTGCAGCCTCAGCAGCAATAGGTCTCAATATACACAAAGGGAAAAGCAAGATTCTCCGGTACAACACAGAATACACCAATCCAATCACAATTGACGGAGAAGTTTTGGAAGATGTAAAAACCTTCACATATTTGGGCAGTATCATCGATGAACACGGTGGATCTGATGCAGATGTGAAGGCACGGATCGGCAAAGCAAGAGAAGCATATTTACAACTGAAGAACATCTGGAACTCAAAACAATTAGCAACCAACACCAAAGTCAGAATTTTCAATACAAATGTCAAGACAGTTCTACTGTATGGGGCCATCATCCAAAAGATACAGGTGTTTATTAATAGTTGTCTACGCAAAATACTTCAGATCCGCTGGCCGGACACTATTAGCAACAACCTACTGTGGGAGAGAACAAATCAGATCCCAATGTAGGAAGAAATCAGGAAGAAGCGCTGAAAGTGGATAGGACACACATTGAGGAAAGCACCGAACTGCGTCACAAGACAAGCCCTCACATGAAATTCTCAAGGCCGAAGGAGGAGAGGAAGACCAAAGAATACATTACGTCGAGAAATGGAGATAGATATGAGAAAAATGAACAAGAATTGGATGGAACTAGAAAAGAAGGCCCAGGATAGAGTGGGTTGGAGAATGCTGGTCTGCGGCTTATGCTCCATTGGGAGTAACAGG